AGGTTCTGAGCAGTAGCCATACTTGATTGGATTTGTTTCATTACTGTATTGTCATGTCAAAATGAAGAAGCTGCCCTTCATGATTTCGAACATCTGCTTTAGGAATTTAGAACCTTTTGAGTCAATGACTCTAATGGAAATTTCAGTCTAATTTTGGTACTGTTTTGCCTATTAGTTAAAAAAAAAAGTAATACTTTAGTGTCCTAAAAATTTCATCTTTGTATAACATGACTGCAGATTGATTTCTTTGTGAAAGCTGTTCTGTGTGGGGACCAGCTTTCATTCTAGGGCGCAACTAGATATTTCTAGCATCAGTCTATGTCATTTGAATCTGGACATCAGCCTTGTGGTTAGCTTGAGTTTTTCCCTTAATATACTGTTATCTGAAAAGCAACTTTTATTTCCCTGGCTTTTGCAGTTCTTTGAACATATTGATACTCAATAAATATTCATTGAATGAATTGAATTTGACCTGCTTAGAAGGCATAGTCTTATTATAAGGTTATTCACTTTCAGCAGAAGCTATCATAAATCATAGGGCGTAATAGTAATCCAGCTGATGAACTTGATGCAGTAGTGCAGCATTGTACCTGGAAATGTGTAGCCTATGATACCTTGATGAGCTGACTCCAGCTTATTTAGACGTCCATAGCCTTGCTATGGTCTTACCTTTTAAACTAGGTGTATTTATTCTTTTCTTAACATTTTTTGCCCTTGGTTACTTTGAAATCTTTGCGTACTGCTTAGGCTAGTGCATTTTTGTTTTTAATTTTAGGTATGTTTTTATTGATGCTCTTGTGGTCATGAGTGAAATGCTGCTCTTCTCCTGTAGCCCTTTGTAATCTCCTCCATCACAGCCCTAAATTATCCTGTAATTCTTTCTTAAACCACCAGGCTTTCCCACTAGACAACTCCTTGAGGGCAGGTCTGTGATTTATTCTTTTTTGTATTCCCATTGCCTGAAACAATGCCTGACATATAAACTTTTGTTGAATTAACAAATGGGCCCTGAAGTTCATGTACATTTGCAAATGTAATAAAATTAAAATGGAAATGAGTTTAGAAGGGATCATTAATTATATGCCTAATTCTAATTAAATTGTGATATAGTTAGAAATACTAGCTTGAGATTTAGAAGATGTAGGCTTTGTGTTGGATTAATGATATTTTAATAGTCCCTTAATCTTTATAGTTCTTAGTTTCTTTATCTGCAAATGAATGGATTGGGTAGGATCTTTGCTAAGATCCCTTAGAGCAAGAATTACATTATTCTTGAGTTAATTATAGAGAACTAAGTTTCTTCTGCCAAACTCCGTAAGGCAGGAAGTATATTCTAGTCATCTATAATTTCCTGGCCCTAAGCTCAGTACCTGGTATATAGTAGTTACTAAAGCAGTTTTAACCAGAAAAGTAATACATTCCCATGTGGAATTTTAAAAAATTTAAATACACAGCAAATGAGAAAAAGTTCAAATAGAGAATAGTAAATTAAATATGTATAAAACTTACTTAAAAATATATCTGTCAAAGAACAGTTATTTGTAATATCTAAAGAAAAAAACCCTGAGAAACTTTTTATTAATTAGTTTAAAAATTCACTAGTGAAAGAAATACATTTGAAGCTTCCTTGTCCCTTAACTACAAGTTAATAATTTATCAGCCTGTACCGTGCTGTACAAGTACACGTTGCTGAAATTTCCCACAGTCAATGTATCTTTTACATGTTTATTAGTTATGTACCATGTGCTAAACAGTTCCATTTTTGACACTGTATACGAAGTAGATGATATAATACCTTGCTTAATGTGAGAATTCGCTGTCTTAGAGTCTAATGCTTGGTAATTTGGCCAGATCCCCCTTCCAACACACACACACACACACACACACACACACACACACACACACACAAATACAGTGATTTCTTAAAGATAGTATAAGGGTTTTTTTTTTCACTTTTGTTTGTTTGTATAATTTACTATATGTATGGTTCTTGATATTATAGTTCAGCTGTTTTCTGTTTGCCCATGGGTAGATCCATGTTTTATGATATTGCAAAAGTACCTATACAAATATGATGTGAAACTGAATTGTCTTAATGAGAAAAATTCACTATAAATTATAAATCTTAAAAAGCTGATAAATCTATAAATTCCAGTGAAATAATTTAGACTAGTTTGGGGGGGGTATGTGCATTTTATTTTTGATTCTTTTCCATTACCCGCATATATTACAAGTCCTCATTACTATGAGATACATTCATATTGCTAGATTTAAAATGGATTTGCTGTCTCAGCCCTGTGGGCTTTTGAAGTATTTTTGAAAAAATTCTTTATTAATTATAATTTTAAAAGAATTTTTATTGTATATAGTTAAGGTATATTAGCATGATTTTGTATATATGTAATTATAGATAGTGAAATGATTGCACTGAAACAAAGTAACATGTCCATTATCTTTTGTTTTTTGGTAAGAGCACCTAAAATCTATTTTCCTAGCAACTTCTCAGTATACAACATAATATTATTAACTGTAGTCATCATGCTATATTTTAGATTGTTAGACTTGTTTATCCTACCTAATTCTCCTAGACCTAATTCTCCCTATTTCCTCCAGCCCCTAATATTTTATACTTTGTTTCTACTTACTTGATTTTTAAAAACTAGATTATGTATAAATGAGATTGTATAGTGTTTCTTTCTATGCCTTGCTTGTTTCAGACTGCTGACAGTAATTTTAAGTATTTACAGAAATTACTGCTTGCCTTACATATAACTTCCTCTAAAAGCAACATGAATATTTTATCTCTAGAGCCAGGCATGGTGGTGTAGGCCTATAATCCCAGATCACTGTGAGTTTGAGGCAGCCTAGGCTACATAGTGAGTTCAAGGTCAGCCAGAACTACTTAGTGAGACCCTGTTTTAAAAAACAAAGACAGATAAACAAATAAACAAACAAAACATATCTCCAACTCAACTGCTCCTGAGCCAGATGTGAGAAGTGACCCTGGCTACTCCCATACTACCTAACAGTTTTGAGGTTAAGTGTCATGAAGGGAAGTCATAATGGCAGAAATTCCAATCAGTTGATTTTAAAATATCTTGCTCTTACAACTTTTACAAAAGTATATATGATGAGGGATTTTGAAGAGGTCAAGAGGGCTATTAATTAGAATGACCCAGAAGCTTACTTCTCTCTTCTCAGTAAATCTGCTTTTATGTGTAGATTTCGTCTATTGTGAAATGTGCAGTTCACAGTATGTATGCTCTTGTGCAACTGCTGAAAATTTCATTTAAAATTTTTTTTTTATTTGGAGGGCTCCTGGTGCCCTTGTAGTAGGGTTAAAAGGAGCTGGGCTTAATTATTTTTGGGTGATCACGCACATGTTTATAAATGAATACAGTACATAGTTGAATTGCTTTTTTTTTTTCTGCTGGCATGAGGTATTTTCAGTTCTGTATGCAGTCTTGAATGCCCCAGTGGTCCAGTACCACCTGACTGACTGACTGAACGGTTTATGTTGTACAAATTTATAGGCCTGCTAAACATTGTGGAGAGGTGGAACACACTCATTATGACATGATGCCATTTAACTACTTAATAACTCAGTTGTTAAAATTACACCTGTTTTATTCTCGTAGGGGTTCAGAAACAATATGCCAAAATGTTAAATAAAATCTTACAGTTAAAAGTGTGAGTTCAGTATAGTAATATCCGAATGTGAGACTTTGGTTGCCAGTAGAAAAGGACTTTTCCTCATTATTATTTAAAAAAGACAATGGTCACAGACATTTTCTCAAACAAAGAAGTAAAAGCAGCAAGTAACTCTATGAAAGAATGTTCCACATCACTGGTCATTCGAGAAATGCAGATGAAAACAACACTGAGAGTCCACCTCACCCCACAAAGAATGGCTGCTATCAAGAAATCAACCAACAACAAATGCTGGTGGGGAGGTGGGGAGAAAGGAACCCTTCTCCATTGTTGGTGGGAGTGCAGACTGGTGCAGCCACTGTGGAAATCAATATGGAGATACCTCAAAGAACTAGGATTACAGGTTCCACTTGACCCAGCCATCCCTCTGCTGGGTATCTTTCCAAAAGAATTATATATGTGCACCTATGTTTATAGTGGCACAGTTTGTAATAGCTAAAACTTGGAAACAGCCCATTTGCCCATCAGTTGGAAACTGGAAAAAGAAGATGTGGTTTTTCTATAAAATGGAATACTACTCAGCCATCAAGAATGAGAAATTAGAGTCATTCATAGGAAACTAGATACATATTGAGGATATACTCCTAAGTGAAATAAATAAGTTACACATGTGTATATACCGAATAGTTTCTCTGGTGTGAAAAACTATAATTGTACATAATATCCTAATGATATATTTGACAATGTGAAATAATAGGAAGAAAAGGACTAAAGTTGTAGGCGAAATGGGAAGTGTAAGGGAAAGGAAATAAGGGAAAAGGAAAAAAATGAGAAAATAAAACAATGGAAATAAAGTATTTATAAATGGGGAAGGGAGGAGGGGGTGAAGGGAGGGCAGGGATAAGGGGAAAAAATGAGAAACAAGACCTGTCATGTAAAGGTACAAGACCCCAAGGATGAATGTAACTGTACTGTATACCTAAAATGTACCAGTAAACTCAATTAGAGAAAAAAAAAAAAAGACAATGGTGCATATACAGTGGTTAGCACATGTAAGTTCTCTTAAACTATGCACAGTAGGACACTGTAGAAGAGAAATTTAAAATGTGGAGGTAAGTAAGAACATGATATAGAAAAGCCTGAATTGGAAAAGAATAAAAGAGGGATTGATTAAGTTAAGACAAAGTGAATATTTTCCAGTTCTTTATAATCTGGAGCTAGTAACATATGGCCGTAATTTGTATTATGGAAAATGAAATAGGTACAATTCCATTCATTTCTCATTTTTTTTATGAAAGGAAATACTATGGTTCATTTAAAAACATTTTATTTTTGTCTTTATTTTTTAGGTAAGGCTGTGTCAAAATCCCAAGCTCCAGTTGAAAAATAGCCCACCATATATACTTGATATTTTACCTGATACTTATCAGCACCTGCGACTTATATTGAGTAAATATGATGACAACCAGAAACTTGCCCAACTGAGTGAGAATGAGTATTTTAAAATCTACATTGATAGTCTAATGAAAAAGTCAAAACGAGCAATAAGACTTTTCAAAGAAGGCAAGGAGAGGATGTATGAAGAACAATCACAGGACAGGTAAGAGTATTTCTGATTTTTAAAATTAAGGTCATGTATCTTGCGTTTTGCCTCATAGTTAACCCAAATGTCACCATGTGTTTCTTTTCAAGAAACTGTCATTCACTTTGCATATACTTTCACATTAAGTTTTATATAAATTTATCATGATGGCTAGTTCATAAGACAGTTCTTATTTTTCTAATAGATTTTCACTTTTGGGTAATTTTAAGTTTACATAAAAATTGCTCAGAAAGTAGAGTTCTTTCTACCTAGTCTGGCTTGCAAGCAGTCTCTCCATTTCATGTCTTGCATTAGTGTGGCATTATTTGTTAGAGTTGCTGAGCCAAAATTGGTACCTTACTATTAACTGAGGTTGAGAGGTTGTTTTTATGTTTCTATGGTTCAGAAATGTGTAATGTCATCTGTCTACTATGGCAGAGACAGGAATAACAGTTTGTTGTCCTAAAAGTGCGCTGTGTTCCTCCTCTTCATTGTTCCTCAATAGTGCCCTGTCTCCTTAAGCCCAGGCAGCCCTTGATCTTTGGCTATGTCTGTAGCTTGCCTTCTCCAAATGTCATATAGTGGGATTCATGCAGTCTGTAATTTTGTAAGACTAGCTTCTTTTACTTAACATATATTTAAGGTTCCTTGCTGTCTTTTCATAGCTTGATAGCTCATTTCTTTATGTCACCGAATATGTCCACTGTATAGCACAGTTTTTTGTTTTGTTTTGTTACTCTGTTTTTGCCATTCATATATTGAAGTGCATCTTGTTATTTCTAATTCTTTTGGAAATTATGTATAAAACTGCTATAAATACTTGTATTCAGGTTTTTGTATGAGCTTAAGCTTTCAACTAACTCATTTGGATTATATAATGGAAAATCCAATTATCTAGGTGTGTATAGAGTCTGAAGTTCTCTGTTCTCCAAATACCCAGAGAAGACAAAACTATTAAATGCAAACATAGAAGAAACCTTTGCCTAAAGGTAAAGTGTTTTATATATTTAAATTTGCTTTTTAGTGATGAACCCTAATGTACTCATAAAAGTCTAATCAGTTGTATGACTTTGAGCTAATCACTGAATATTCTTAGACCACAGTTTATATACATCTTGAAGGTAGTGAATCTTCCTGCTGCCTTTTAGTTTTAAAACTCTAAGATTCTATCTAGAACTACCAACCGGAATTTGAATTGTAAAAGTATGGTAAAGAAATATAATGGTTGTTTATTCTTACAGACTTTTCAGAATGGTCAAAGTTACGAAAAGTCAGATGTTTTATGTGAAAATCTTCTTCTCTTTGTAGTCCTATCTTTAATCTAATAAAACAAAGTTGTTTTATAAATATCTATAATACTTAATACAAATTTAGTATCCCTGGAGTTCTTGGTGATTCAATCAAGCCATTCGTTAGATTTTACTTTGTAGGGTATCAGGACCTTCTAGGTCTAGCAATTTGAATAGGCACAGTGTTATCATTGGACGTAATAAAGACTGGTAAACTTGCATTCAGCTTCTACATTATCTGTAGAAATATGAAACATTTTCTAACGCTTATGTTATGTTTTATAAGTACCATTAATTTACAAATTTTAATAGTTTTGCCTTATGAAGCATTTCAAGGAAACTTTTCTAGGTGTTGGTTGATTGTATATGGGTTTTCATATACAGTTATAGATCATATAATGCTGGCTGATCATGATGAACCAACTCTGTAAATTCTTTATATTCATGTCTCTGTTTTAATTGTCCATGTGAGTTTTGTTCATTTTCTCCTAAATTCAAAAAAACCAAAATTTGTTAGTTAATTGGATTTTACTGTTATCCCTGTTCCCTTTTCTGATGGTGTTCTGTGGCCAGTGTTTTTAATGCAAACCTTATATTAGGTAATTGTCTAATCATAGTCATGCACCATTCTTTGTAAAAAAAAAAGTACATAGACTTTTGATCTGTAGCACAAACACTCACTTCTAAGTTCCCTTAGGATTCTAAATGCAGACTGGTGTAAAATGTGCTATTGCACATGGAACTCACCAGCATTTTGCTCTGTAGAACATAACAAACTTTCTTAGAGTATTCTCATGGTACTTAGGCAGCAGAGCATATTGTTTAGTAGAATGACCGCTGAACAGGTAAGACACTAATTAATAATGGTATAAATTCTCTGAGTAATTTCATTTTGCAGATAACTCAGAAGGGATATTTGTATCACTAAGCTAAAATTGAAGGACAGTGATAGTGGAAATATTAATTTGGAGGTCACTGACTAAACCAGCATTCCCTCAAGTGATTTTGTGCTTTATTAGGAAAATTTTCTGGTTGAGTAGGTGAATCAAGATGTTTAATGTTACTGCATCTATGTTATACTAATATTAAAATTTCTTTCTGGATTTATTTTACAATTAAATGTAAATGGAAAAAAATTCAAGTATTCTGAAACTGGCTCTATTTTAATTGATTGCTAAAGAGTGTCATTTGAATTTTTAAAGCTATTGCCCATAAAATTTATATTAAGTATAACAATAAATAAAAACAAAATACAATTTAAAAATAAATGGCTCTCAATCTATTTCCTAGTTACTCAGGTCCTGTGGAATTAGGGCGACAGAAATTATAACTAGATAAATGTATCTGATGCTGAAATAGACATTTAAGGCACAGTGGAAACCTCTTGTCTTGTGAAGGGCAGAGTAATGATTTCCTGCAAAGGAAACACATGCCCAAGGCTGTGTGGCCACCCTTGACTGTTAACAGTAAACCTCCTTCTCTTTTATCACTTTTTCCATATGGTTCTTTTCTGTTTATTTATTTATTTTTTGTGAAAACAGTTGAACCTCACTTTGAGGTGGTGCTTCTTTAGCCGAGTGTTTAAAGCATTCCAAGCTGGCATTTCTGAGAACAGTGATTCACTGATTTCTGGCACACACAAAAGTTTGTATGTGTGAAAAGCTTGTATGTGTGTTTGTATGTATGGCAAATGAGTTAGTGAACATGTAGAAAACTTGTCACTTGAAGTAAGCGTCAAGGAGAAACTTTATGTCATTGCTTTTTGGTGTTAAAAGTCAGTGAACATGAAGGAAGTTATTGCTGTTATTTGTACAGTGGTCATGCGGTGCCTTGTGTCATTTGACTGGCATTTTCATCAGTTGATCATTTTAATAGTAAAATTTATTCTTTCATCAGAAAATTCTGTATTGATCAGGTGCTCAGAAAAGTCTGGTGGTAGACAGCTGGAGATGATAGTCATAGGTTATGTAGAATTTTCAGAGTGGCTTCAGTGAAGAGAGAATGTAACCGGCCCTGCTCCTTGACCTTCAACAATTGGCTTCACCACTGAAACAAAACCAGAAGTCAGCAGAAGTGCAAAATATACCTCTGCCTTGTCACAATATCTTTTAAGAAAATGAAGTCTTTTAAAAACTTATGCTGGAGAGGAAAACATTAATATTGTCTTATTAATATCATTTCAAAGCCTCTGTTTTCTTTCTTTATACACGGTGTTGTAGGAGACAAATTAGCTCCTGGATAAAATAGGCTGATGTGTGAGTGGGCAGGAATGTTTGGATGTTTCACACAGTGGTCTTCATACAGAATAAGATTCATATTGAATAAGATAAAATAAAATTATGCCAACATAGAAAATAGTCTTAAGGTGCCAGCCTCTATTTGAAATTAAAACAAACAAACATACAAAAAAACCTGGCTGAACAAAGGAAAACTTAAAAAGTGCTACTTAATAAGGTGCTCTTCCACTTAAAGGAACTATATATATCATTGGCCTGCTGTTCATACCTGTGTTGTAAGTTATAATCTAGTGACCAAAGAATTTTTGGAACTGACATGTTTAAGATACATAATTGCTATTAGACAAGAGGAAGGGAATAAGGGGGAGGGAAAGAGGCTGTAAGGACAGATAATTAGGAGATGGTTAAGATCAGAATACGTTTTGTACATTGAGACTCCCCTCAAAAATGTGAAACTAGCAGGTAGGGTTGGCAAGAAGATGATAGGAATGATTAAAGTATGTTACATGCATGTATGAATCTGCCAAAATGAAACCCATTAATCTATATAACCAATATATATTAATGAAGATGTTAAAAAAGATTCAAGAATCATGCAACTGTTTACGTATGAGAAGGTGCTCAAATACAGTTTTATACACACACACACGCACACACACAAACACATACACATTAAATTAATTTTTATCAAAATAAAGGCCAAAAAAACCCCAAAACCTAGTAGCTACAAAAAACACAAAGCTGCAAACAGACATGCCCGCTATCTTCATGTCACTGTGTGGACATCATTGCTTTGGTCAGAGAGTGATGTATTAATTAAAATGGTTAAATCTGTATAAACAAAAATACATGTCATTGTATGTTAAGTTTTTCAAAGTAGTTTTTAAATTCCTCTAGGGTTTTCAGTTCTTCATATGCAGAGGTTAACCTCTATGTACAATTTGAACTTTAAAAATTAGTTTAAATAATTACTAGACCTCACAGAATAATGGCCTTGCTTTTATCATGCCACATTAAACACCACAGTTTCTCATAGTCATTTCTAAATGTTGCGAGAAAAACTGCTGCTTCACTTAGTATAAGGAATTGGAGCCAGGAAACCTCATGGTCCCATGCCATTTTTTTCTTTCAGTATTCTTTGTAACTTTTTTGATGTCTTGATTCCAATTTACACTTTTCAGTTTTGAAGTTACTTTCTGGCTATTCACTTTATTTTCATCTCAGACTTTTCAATGTGATAAAATGAAGATAGCATGATTTCAGATTTGATGTTGCTATTGGTGTATCAGTCTATATAATCCTTTTTCTATAGTTGTTTCTAGTACACATATCGTTTTTGTTATCACATTAGTGATAATGTGCAACTGAATTAATCTTAGAGAAATTTCATCTTTTGTAAATTAATCTATTGAATGCCTTCCATTTATTGAAATGCCTATTATCTAATACTCAAAAGAAAATGATTTATATTCATTTGAATAATTTTTCATTT